AATTTTAAGAGAACATAAGGTTTATGTGACTGGAGATGAACGTGGGAACATGTCCAGATATTTTAGCTTTGTAATTTGGGTGTTTCCTCCTCTGTTCTGGTTAAATAATCGGCACCCCTTGATTTCCTGTCCTATAGGGAGCATCACTCATGTTGCTGAAGCTTTGCATGCCCTGTTGAATTTATAGGAAAAGAAATGATCTGGTTTTACTCCAAAGAACCAATGAAGGGATGTTCTACCAGGATATCACCTCTAAATATCACTGGGATCAGAGAGACCTAGTGGGGCCTTAGCTGGGACATCGGCTTTCATTCTCTGACCATGTCTGCCTCCACTCCAGTGATACCAGTGCCCATAAAACTTCTCGAGTATCACACAGGTTTTTAAAACAGAACAAAACAAAACGCTTTGGGTTACTTGGCCATCTGGGCTGAGGTCACCTGCTCACAAGGCAACAGGAGGTTGACAACCAAGGGGCCGTTTTGGGTGCTGTGTTTGTGTTCTTCCAGACTCGTGCGCGCGATCTAGTCGCCGATGGCTTTCGTACAGCCCCGTCAGCACAAGCGGGGGGAAAATTGCCAGGAACCGTGAGGAATGGAGGATTTTCTCAGCTGTGATGCTGAGGGGTTTTTCAAGGCACTTACAGTCCTTCACCTGACATCACTCGTAGGGCTGAAAGAGATTTCTCCAGGTCACCAAGTCCTACGTACTGCTATTATGGGCAACTGCCTCCCGTCCTTCTGTCCATTAATTTGTCCATCTTGTCCTTAGAACTGGCTGGATTATTTTTTGGCTCCACTGCTTGCTTTCTGCGACTTTTTCCCTTTCATCTCCTTTCTTAGCCAGTATCTTTCTCTGTCATGGCAGCTGTGATCTTAGCAGACCAATGCCCTAAAGTACATGGTGCAATCAAGAAAAGTCCTTCTGAATTCTTCTTTACAATTGAACCACCTGCGACCGTCCTCGAAGCACAGCCTGCCAAGCTGTGCTCCTGCCCTTCTCCTCCGGACACCCGGGCATCATCTGACTCCACATCTTTGACCATCGTCTTCTGCCTGCCGTCGTCTTCCTCCATCCACTCCAGCTCCAGTCAAGCTCATAAACTTCAAGCTGGTGACTGATTTTCCTCGTCAGTTCTTCATAACAGCGTGACCCCAGTCATGTATCTCTTCAATGGCCCGACGCCGTCTGAAATCCATATTCTCTCCCTTTTATTCTTCTGTCCGCAGATGACTCTGTGTTTTGTGCTCTCCTGCTACCTGGTGTATTCTCTGCTCAACACCTTTATACCCCAGACCTCTCTCAGTTTAGTTCTTCTTCCCAGGGACCCAGCTGTTCTCCTCCTCTTTGTTATTCCCAGTCTTTGGTTCTTCCTTGTTTTGCATCACGTCAAGCCCCTTTGTCAGCTTTTCTTTCACAGTCGCTGGTGTTTCTCCCTGTCCCTCTCGGGATCTGACCTTTCATGATCACACCGCTCCCGAAAGGTCCTCTTATTCAGTCTCTGCAAACTTCAGACACATTCACACTTCATCCCTCTCGGACTGTACGTGAAGATCCCTTGTCTGAACTCTTCTCAGTTCTTTCCAGCTTGTTTCTGGAGCTCAGCTCTGCTCTCCGAGTTACCGTGCTCAAGACAGTCATCCGCAAGCACACCCCCTTTGCTCTTGCATTTCATCGCCTTCATTGTCTTCTCCAGCCTTTGGATCGCATCCGCTGGAAACATCCCTTCTGCGCTTCCCTCCTCGTTATGCACACGCATCCCCAAAAATAATAATAGGAGATTAAAAGTCCCACAGGTTTCCCCACCTATAAACTCTCTGTGTCTGCCTCTGTTTGCTTGGCTGCCTGCTTGCCCATTGCTGGGTGGAAATCCCAGCGGTAAGAGGATGGTGCCTTCTTTAAAATGCTTGGGATATTTCTTGGTGAGCTCGCTAGTGGTTTACATCCGCATTGTTATTTTCTCTCTGGAGATATTTTATGCGCTGGAAGTGACAAATTTACATTATTGGAGAATTATTGTTTCTGCTTTTGACCTGTGTTTTATTCACTGCAAGCCATTACTTTAATATGGCTGTGATTACGTTACCAGTTGAAAACAGGCCACCTGTGGCATTTCACACCAAATCGCTGTAAACCAGTGCAGCCAGGCAAAAAGCAGGTCAGCAAAACCATGCAGAGGTGATGCTTGTGCTTCTGAGCTTACGGCTGTGGGTCTCAGCTTATCATACTGACCCCTCAACCTGGTTCCTGTGGGTTAAACATTGAACAATGAGGAGAAGTTCAGTGGTATCTTCATTTGGCTTATGCACTTGGCCAACTCAAAATGTCGCCGTGATTCTCCTGTGAATATAAATATTATTAAATATTTAAATGATGGTTGTACTCCCAGTCCTTTCTAGGACCGAGGCTGTATTTTTATGAGAAAACCTGGCCCTGTTCTTTGGAGGACACCAGGTTCAAACCAAACAAAAGCAGGTCCGATTCACGTAGTGCAGAAGCAGCGTTGACAGGGTTGAAAATAATTAAGGAAATTAATAGAATAAAGTGTGGATGTAGTCTTTGAATGCAGAAGCCCCTTGGCTGCAGATAGTCGTAAGCGAGGTGTGATGGCAGGACCTCTCCATTTTTACTTTGCATCCGATGGTGACCATCAGCAGGAGCCAAACCTATGGAGTGAACGGGTGTTGGTGTGCCCCAAGGCAGCCACGTCCATACCGTGCCTGGGCCGGCATGGGGGAGGCAAGGAGAGACTAGGCTGTGGTGCAGAGCTGATTTCTGCTGGGCTTTTTGTCCCGCTCCTCCAAGGAAAGAAGGAGGTGACCCTGCTAGATCATGCATGGATAAGCCTCTATCAGAGCATCACCTCTGCACTTCAGAAAGATGGTCTAGATCGGAGTATTCAGGAACGTCGATTGTAACCTTCTGTACGTTGAAGATGATGGTCCCATCATCCACACCGAGTGCGTTGAAGTGAGCAGCAGGTTCACTTCACTTGTAAACGTGCGTAGCCAAATGCGCCGTCCTCCAACCCTGCCTGCCCGTGGCTGGTTGAAATGGAAGATCCTTGCACGTTTCTCTCCTACCTGGCAAAGCACAAGAGTGTGCAAAACACATCTACCAGGTCACAATCTGTTGAAGCTCCTTACTCAACTCCGCTTTTCATTCTCCCAGAGCTTCCTCAGGCAGCAAACAGCCCCCTCCCCAGGCATCACGCTGGCCCATGTATGGGACCAGTGATGGTTCTCTGGTCTCCTAGGAAGCCTCTGGTTTTCTTGAAGCTTAAGATATTTTATGAATATTTTCATTAATATATATTCTTAACACTTGATTTGTTAATATTTATATTAATTAAGATACATTTAATAGGCAGGAGATACTATCAAGGAGGCACGAAGTTGTAGACCATTGCTGGAAAACGCAGAGCAGCTTTCACACTCCGAACTTAAATCTTCTTCAAGTTGCATGGAAATAACTCCCAACAACACCTGATCTGTGCTTTGGCGTTTCGAGCTGCTCCTGTTGCAGCACGTCAACGATGCTTCGGCTGGAGCTTCCCGGGGTGGTGGGGAGGGTGCGGGTGCTGGTGGGAGAGAGGGGTCTCCCTGCAGCAAACCAACTCATGTTTAGAAAGCTTTGGAATACGGATTTGCATCAAAGTAAAACTCTCAGGGTTAGTTAAATATTCCTCTAAATATGCAAAGGAATTGAGTTACTGATGCTTGTTATTCTTGTCTTACTCTCGGTGTCACAACATCTTTAAGTTCAGTGAAGGTTTCACTTACTAAGGCGGTTGTAAAGATTTCACGTTAATTAAG